TATATATATATATATATATAAGTTTAAGTCCTGAATTATAAGTATTTAGTTTATAATTTTAATACAATAATAACATAAAGCCTTTAGCCCACTACGTGGGATCGACAACATGAATCTTTTTTCTCCATTGTGTCCTGTTAAGAATCAAATTCTCATTCAAATCTAATAAGAAGTCATTTCTAATATTTTCTAAACAAGTCTTTTTAGGTCTACCTCTATCTTTCTTAACACAGGCCATATCTAATACTTCTACTCTCCTAACCAGATCATCAGAAGGTTGATGTTTCATGTGACCAAACCATCTAAGACAACTTTCTGTAATATTATCTCCCATTGGAGCAAGGAGCAACTCCAACCATTTCACGTATATACTCATTTTGCATTGTCTCTAAGAGTAAAGCCACTCATCCACCTGAGCATCCTCATCTCTGCAACACTTAACTTAATTTTATGCTTCTCTTTGAATAGCAAACTGATGCAATCAAAAATTCGGGGAGGGACCCAAATTTTCGATCACAAAAGGAAGACGCACTTAGCTAAATAATAAGAAGAACAAACTCTTACATTTCATATAAAAAGAGCACTTATAAACATAATATTAAAAGACACTTTGATATATAAAGACACTTACAATCGACTCAAATAAAAACACCTAAACTTGCTTTCCAAGAGAAGAAAGATACAGATGGAAGGGTACTTGCGAAGAGACGAAAGAGATTAGAAGCCGAGAATAAGGGTGGAAGAACTCGCAAGTCTCCCCAAGAGATAGAAGAAGAAGAAGAAGCTCTCAAGCTCTTCCAAGAAAATCACTAAGATTTTGATAGGAAATACTTGAGTTCGCAAGTAACCCTCAGGTAATACTTGAGTTCGCAAGCAAACCTAACCAAAATCAACACAAAACGAAGAGGAAACTGCTGATTTGTAGCAGAAACAGCAGTTTTCAGTAGAAAACAGCAACTTACAGCAATTCAGTGGAAGAAATCTCAAGCAAAACAAGATCTTTCATTAAAGGATTCAAGAAAAACAATAAAAGATACATGTTCCTTCGATTCGAGAGGAAGAAACAACTCTCCAAAACTCTAGCAAACCCTAGAGCCCAAGAAGAACAAACCCTAGATCCCCAATCTCATTCAAATTCAAGATAGTCTAAATCCCTCCAAAACTCCTCCTTAAAAAGAAAGGACTCAAGCAAATTCCCTAAACAGCCCTTCACTCAAATAATTTCCCTCCAAACAGTGCATTTAACCCAATGTGGGCTCCACATGGCTTCCGCCCTCCCTGCTAGCTCCGCCTGGAGCTCCCCGCTTCCTCACGTAGAACCGGACCGGTCTGGTCTGGACCGGTCCAGCCAGGCCCGGCGTAACAGATTTCTTTCCAAAATTATCTTATCACATTTCTAAAACAGCCACAAAACATCTTCTATATATAGACAAGGGAGGGGAATACAAACAGCCCTAAAAACCCTTTAATATTCTATATTAAATAAGGGAAATGAAAAGCCAACAGTCAACACCAGGAAACGAAGCACCAAAGCCACGAAAAAGCCCCCCATCAGCCACGGGAAAACAGCCCAGGCGAAACCCAAAGAGGCAGCCGCAAAAGCCAAGGAGACCCGCACATAACCGAAGCACCAAGGCACGGGAAAGGCCACCCAGCATGGAAAACCAGCAGCTAACCGGGGAAACTAAGGAGCCCAAGCACGGAAAACAACCAACACAGGAAACCCAAAAGCCATTGTTGGAAACCCAAGGGACAAAGCTCAAAATTTTAAGAGATAAAACTATAAATAAAGAGTTACATAAATAGGTAAATAAATGAACTAAAACATAGCTAATAATGAGCTAATTTTTAGTTTAATAAATGAACTAAAAACCGGCTCATAATGAGCTAAATTTCAACTCAAAATTTATTGAGCTAGCAAGCTCAAGGGAAGTCAAAACCAATTTTTTTTGGGTTTGATTTGACCCTCCCTTTGCCTACATCAAACTCCCCTTCTTGAGGACTCATCTCCCCATCAGACTCCCCTTCTTGAGGACTCATCTCCCGATGAGTTAGCTTTTGTTTTCTTCTGAGGAGGTGAAGGCGGTGCATCCAACTCTTTAATTTTTTCTCCAAACTTCTTCAAAATTTCTTCTCCAAACTTCTTCAAAATTTCTTCTTGCTCTTTCTCGAACTGTCTTTGTAGATACATCTTCCATTTCTCGAATTTCTGATCACATAAGAACATATGATATTGAAGTTTGTATAATCTGTCTTGAAGTGGATCGGTTGAATCACCTTCAGTTGGAATCCATCTATCCAACGGAAGAGGGTCTTTAATTTCTTCTGGCTTGCTTTCTTTGATCTTTTTGTCTTTTTCCATTTTAAAAAAAAGACTCAACAAAACAAGACTCACAAGACTCACACAATAAATACTATGACCTACCAAGACTCACTAGAACTCACAAACAAAACAATTTAAGACATCAAGACACATAAAACTTGCTATGACTCACCAAGACTTTACTTGACAAACCGACTCATAAACCTAGGACTTCCTAATTTGCTCCGAGACCAAAAATGATGCAATCAAAAATTTGAGAGAGGACCCCAAATTTTTTATCACAAAAAGAAGACGCACTCAGCTAATTAATAAGAAGAACAAACTCTTACATTTCATATAAAAAGAACACTTAGAAACATAATATTAAAAGACACTTTGATATATAAAGACTCTTACAATCGACTCAAATAAAAAACACCTAAACTTGCTTTCCAAGAGAAGAAAGATACAGATGGAAGGGTACTTCCGGAGAGACGAAAGAGATTAGAAGCCGAGAAGAAGGGTGGAAAGAACTCGCAAGTCTCCACAAGAGATAGAAGAAGAAGAAGAAGCTCTCAAGCTCTTCCAAGAAAATCACTAAGATTTCTTTCAAAAAATTATCTTATCACATTTCTAAAACAGCCACAAAACATCTTCTATATATAGACAAAGGAGGGGAATATAAACAGCCCCAAAAACCCTTTAATATTCTATATTAAATAAGGGAAATGAAAAGCCAACAATCAACTCCAGGAAATGAAGCACCAAAGCCACGGAAAAGCCCCCCATCAGTCATGGGAAAACAGCCTAGGCGAAACCCAAAGAGGCAGCCGCAAAAGCCAAGGAGGCCCGCACATAACCGAAGCACCAAGGCACGGGAAAGGCCACCCGCATGGAAAACCAGCAGCCAACCGGGGAAACCAAGGAGCCCAAGCACGAAAAACAGCCAACACAGGAAACCCAAAAGCCATTCTTAGAAACCCAAGGGACAAAGCTCAGAATTTTAAGAGATAAAATTATAAATAAAGAGTTACATAAATAGGTAAATAAATGAACTAAAACATAGCTAATAATGAGCTAACTTTTAGTTCAATAAATGAACTAAAAACCGGCTCATAATGAGCTAAATTTCAGCTCAAAATTTATTGAGCTAGCAAGCTCAAGGGAAGTCAAACCAAATTTTTTTGGGTTTGATTTAGCCTACATCACAAACATTCTGCACCATAAAGCATTGCATTTCTCACCACCATCCTATAGAATTTTCCCTTAAGTTTGAGGGATATGTTTCTATCACACAGCATGCCCGATGCATTCTTCCACTTTAACCATCACTTGATTCTACTAATAATATTCCCATTTATTTCACCATCACTTTGAATAATAAATACGAGATATCTAAAACAAGCACTTTTTTAATAACTTAATCGCTTAAAGTCAAGATCCCCTTAGTAGATATATTACTACTAAAATTACACTATATGTATTCAATTTTAAATCTACTCAAAAAAAATCTTTACTCTAAGGTTGGCCTACATAATTCAAGTTTTCCTTCAACTCCCTCTCTTGTCTTATCAACAAGAAGAATATCATTAGCAAAAAGCATACACTAGGGTACATTCTCTTGCAAATGTCTAGTAAAAACATCCATGACTAACGCAAAAAAGATATGGACTTAAAACTAATCCTTGATGTAATCCAACTGAAATAGGAAAATATATGTTCAAACCACCTTGTGTTTCATGTCCTTAATGACTTGAATATAAGCATTATTAACTCTGTTCTTTTCTAGAACTTTCTAGAGCACTTTTATTGAAACTTTATCATATGTTTTCACTAAATCAATAAATATCATATGAAGATCCTCCTTATTCTCTCGATATTTTTCTATCAAACTTCTCAATAAATGTATAGCTTCTATAGTAGACCTATTCGTCATGAATCCTAATTGATTTTGAAAAAAAATTGTATCACGTTGTAGCCTATGCTCAATATCTCTCTCCCATAATTTTAATGTATGACACAAATTTAATTCCTTTTCCTTCAACTTTTTTTAAGACTATTTTTATATTATATTCTATAAAATAATTTCTCATAATTAAAATAGATAAAAAAAAAATTTATCCTCAAGTCACATAAGCTGGCATCTAGCACCTTGGACATTAGACGGTCATGCTACCTTGACGAGGCCTAGCATACGTAATAACCTCAGTTGCATCGATACACCTATTTATGAAGGATTGCTGTATCCGATACACCGATACATGGATCCGCCTCTGATACACCACCGATACGTGTCGGATACACGAAAGCCGTATCCAATAAAAATACTATTTAATTTCAAAAGGACACGCGTATCGGATACGCGTGTCCGTTGAAAAACAAAAAGAAATTCGAAAAAAGACGCGTTGTATTTACTTTCGCGGCTGCAAGCAAGGTTCTCTCATTTCCGAGATGGATTTGAGTCTCTTGATGATATGAGAATATTAGAAATTACTAATCTTTCACTTGATGAGCCTGAATTAGAAGCTATGATATTTATTGAAGAAGATATAGAAGTTCAAAGACAAACTACTGAAGAAGCTAATCATATCATTCATTCTATTGAATAGTTGAAACTTCATGTGCTAAACAATTTATATTTATGCTTTTGTTGTTGTACTAAACATTTAATGCTTACTTATATTATTAGCTACAAGGTTACAAATAATGTTGTTGTCATTTTTTTTTTAATTTCAAATATTATTCTTTGATTGCTTTCTTAATTTTTATGTATGATTTATAAATTATAATGTCGTGTCCACGCCGTACCCGTATCATGTATTTTTAAGAATTGACGTGTCCCGTATCCGTATCGTGTAGTCTCCGTGTTGCCGTATCCGTATCGGTGCAACATAGGTAATAACAATGAATTAACCATTGCAATTTATAAATTAGATCCTTAAGCATTATTTTAATTGTTAAACTTTTAGACCAAACAAATCTTATTTATTGAAAAAATATATATATAACTCAAAATTATAAGAAATACTAATAAGGGGAGCTAATTGAAGAAAATATAGTCATAAAAAATATCTCAATATGAATGTTAAAGAATAAAAAAAAAATCACACTTCAATTAGTATGGCTAAACTTAAGATGCAAAAAGACATCAGTGTTAAAAAAGTATGCATGCCTTCATCTGTGACTTCTTGAGAGTATGTTAATTTCAATTATGATTTTAATTTATTAAAAATACTAATTGTAATAGCAATTAAACTAATTAATTTACAAAAAAAATCTTTTTAATCAGATTCAAAGATTATGATTAGTAGAATGCAACACAAGTGGTCCGAGTTACATATACCTCAAAGAGTCTCATAATTGCTTTCATTGTAATGCAAGAATTCTTTGAGATTAGGGAACTTAAAGCACACAACCAATAGTTAGTAATCATATATTGTAAGTGCTTAGAAAAAGAACATAGTAAGGTTTCGTTTGGGCTGGCTTTTCAATTGCTTTCTAAAGCAGATTTTTAATACAAAATTTTCTTAAACAAAAAAATTTTGTGCGAAAAAATTGCCTTAAAAGTAATAAGAAATTTGTCCAAAACAAAGCCTAAGTCAGGAGGGTATTTAAAATTTAATTCCTATTTCAAAATACTATAACCATAAATTATTTCAAATATTTATTACATCGAAATTTAAAATAAATTTTGGTTAATTTTTTTAATAATAATATCATCGCATGCACTTATAGCACCTATATTTTAACTGGTTCTCCATACAAAGCTATCAACAAAAGAAATTTAAGGTTCAACCAATTTCACATTCCAAAGGATCTACACAGACAACTTTTTTTTTTTTTTTTGAGAGAGCAACTTACGAGATCACGCCTTTCTCGATCACTCTCAAATGGACGTAGCCATGATGAACTGAAATGATACTTCGTAGATCCGCCCTGCAGTTAATCAAACAATTGTAATGCAATTGTAATGTAATCACGTTAACAGACTGGAAACTAGATATTAGCAAATGGCAATGAGCAAAGAGGATACAAGCAACATTAAGTAGAAGCGGATAACTGGCCTCATATAACATATGCTTTAGGTCAGTTTATTAAGCCTTCTTCCCCTTTCAATGTTGTATAGATATGTCAACTAAATGTTTGATATTATTCTAATTTAGGCAAATCTTTCCACGAAACATCATCTTCGTTAATAAAAGAAATTATATGATGAATTCAGAAAATATAAAAAGGAATGCTTTAACCAAAACCACAAGAAATTGGAATGAGTAAGCAAAACTAAGAAATTAGAACTCAGCATCATCAGCATCATTACTAAGCTGACCCCAAAAATTTGGAGTCAGCACTTAACCATAAAAACAGGCAAATATTTTTACATATTTGGCACATTTCCTTCTAAGTTTCTGGCACGACATAGTTCAAAAGGAAGATGCAGAACTTTCTCAAATAATCTCTATAACTGATTAACCATAGGGACAAATTCAATCCTGAAACTTCATAAAACCACACTATACTTAGATGCAAATCGGTACACAAATTAAAAGACATATCCTCACAGTGGACAAGATGGAATCTGAAACTAACCAGTGACTGCAACAACGTCATTGAAAAAAACGAATCCAAATGATTTATATGGTAAGATAAAGAAATGGACCAGCAAAAAATGGATTTCTTATCTATGGCAATAAATTGACCTATAACTGGAGGAAAGAGCCAAAATTATCCCATAAACCACTTTACTTATATTTATTTAGTTTATGTTTTTCATATTTTATTTTACAAAAAAATATAACACCAGCAGCTGCATATGGATGCATAAATGTTGACCTCACTTTTGTATGAGGTCATTAGTGACCCACCCAGCCTCCAGATTAATCCTGACCCCAGATCAATTTAATCTCCAAATCAATCTAGACCCTAGGATCCACTCTAGACCCTAGGATTCTTCCAGATCAACCTAAACTCTAGGATTCTCCTAGATCCAGACCTTAGAATCTATTCTATGTCCTAGGATCCTTCTAGACTCCAGGCTCTAACTCAAATCTCAAGTCAATTCAAAATTTCAAATCAAATCCAGACTTATAAACTTATCCAAACTTTAAACTTATCCAGATCTCAATATCAAGTTCAAACCTAGATCCTACCTTTGATCTAGCCTGACCATATCCTATCACTTATTAGCATCTAAATGATCATAAATGATATGGATAATTCAAATTCAATCATCCACACTCAAAATTCAGATCAAATCTAAAAATCCAAACTTAAATCTTAAGTCAAAAGACTTTGTCCTAAAGGCATTTTTCAGGGATTTTTCAAACACTTCAAAACACAGTCAAATGACCTCTGATTCAGAGTCTATCACTTGTAAAGTGATAAGACATGTTTCTGGAGGTAACTCTCCAAATTTGAACCCATTCTGAAGTCTCTAACCCCATAAACTAAATCAAAATTCAAAGGCTGTAAAACCTTCAAATATTTACAGCCTATGCCACTAGACCTGTTACCCAGTAAATCCTGACCTTAGAGCCTTCACCAAAGCCTATAATCACTTCCAGACCATTAATCCTGACCTATTGAACGGCAAAATGTATTTTTCTGGACCTGCTTTGACCCTCAGTTGAACAGGGGTCAAAATGACCAAAATACCCCTATGGGATTCAGACATCAATTCTAAACCAAATGACTTCCAAATTACTTGAAACAACTTCCAATAAGTTCAAATATCAAACCAAACCTGTCAGACCCAAACCCAGACCCTGGGTCAATCTAGCTGACCAAGTCAACCTAGGTTGACCAAACATGCCTTTAAGGATCAAAACAGACATTTTGACTAAATTGACCTTCCCAGACTTTGAGACCACCTCTAACAGACTCAAAACATCAAACCAAACTTGTTGAGCCCAAATTCGGGTCCTAGGTCAACTTGGTTGACCAAGTCAACCTATGTTGATCTAAATACCCTTTAATGTTTAAATATGTTATTTTAACCCATTTGACATTTCAAACCTCTTTCAAGCCTTTAACCCAATCCTGCATCATGGCTTAAGTACATATAAGATCAATATAAGTTAAGTCATGATTAGTTGGACCAAGTCAACCAACATTGACTTGGTCAAACCTCTCTTCATGCATGTGTATGCATTTAAATCATAAAACTTGAACATTCAACCTTCTTCAAAGCACCTCCATTAGTTCAAACACCCTCACATGCCATGTCATCAGTCGATTTGACTGGTTGACTAGTCAACTCAGTCAACAAATGGCTTATTTGGCTCCAAATGGCCAAATCTCATGGCTTGAGTTAATCCAACCCATTTAAACCCCTCTTAAACCAAATCTATCCTAATCTAAATCACTCCAGCCATTTGGATAGACTCTAGAAGTTTCTTAGGGCCTATCCCAGCCTTTGGATCATGATCCAATGGCTTTCATCATCCCACATGCCCATAAGAAGCAAAAATGAGTTTTTCCACTTCATGTCCTTGCCTTGTCCTTTCCTTTAGCTTCCCAACACTCCTAGGGACAGATGGCTTGATCATAAACACTCCCTCATTCAATCCCATCCACTCATTTGTTTAGAGAATGATGCAATGGGACTAAATATCCTAATTAAGCTAATTTGAATCTTAAGCCTCTCTCACACAATCTCTCTGATCCAGAGCTATTCCAGCCCTCAAAGCTCTCCAAAAATCTTCTCCAGATATTCCTCTAGCATTTCCAAGCCTTCCCCCACCGAATCCAAGCCTCCAAAGCCTCATTGGTGAAGAGAGACAAGCCTAGAGAGAAAGAAGAGTTTCAAATATAACTTTCGATCCAACGAGATCCAGCTCTTGGTGTCTTCATACGAGTTGTAGAGGATCACTGCAGCTTTCCAACAAGCCCAAGAACACAAAATTTCGACGGTTGGATTGTAAGTTATTTGAGTTTTTAGTTTAAATTTCAAATTGAAACTGTAGCAAATCTACAATGCATGGAGCCTCCAAACTCCAGGAATTGTTAGATCATATTGCCCTCTAGCTACAGTTCAAATTTCATACAATTTCGTTGAGTATTTTGAAAGTTATGGGCATTTGAAGTTTTCTAGCTCTGGTTTAACCAGAGCCGTCCGATCGCGCCTTCAGCATGATCGGACGGCCAAGAAATGGCCACATCCCGCGGCTGGATTAGCTGACGTGGTTAAGTGGCGGGCCGCAGCACGCCACATGGCACGTTCCCATTGGGCGCCGCCATTCTGGTCAGTTTGACCAAAAATGGTCAAAAAAATTTCAAAAAAATGCCCAGATCTTCCAAAATTCATTGAAAATCGAATTTTTCACCAAATTGGACGTTCTTGGGCTCGTTGAAAAGGGAATTTAATGTAGTTTTTTGTAAAATTAAAATCAAGTTGATTTGACCTCTGTATTGTGAGATATTTATAGTTGTTTGAATTATATTTTTTGCCATTTTCTCACAATCCAGTGGTCAACTGGAGTCCAAATTTTAGTGGAAGATTATTGGGTATCTTATGCATGTTTACTGATTTTTCTAGGGTCAGATACCCAATGGATTTCTATAATGTGAATTTTCAAGGTAAAGGGTCTATTTTGGACCATAAAGTTTAAAAATTCATAACTCTTTAAGTTCTCAGTGTTTTGCTATGAAATTGTTGTGGTGTGGATGCATGTATGTCAGGATTAGACACCAAATTTCAAGCCTAATTGAACACTAGTATTACCTAGGAAAAATAATTGAGGATAAAGTCTAGTCAAGTTAGAAAAATCCTAGGAAATTCTACACGCATCTAATAGGGGTGAAACTTGAGAACATTAAACTTAGTGACATTATAAACATTAGGTTCAAATCTCATCAAATTTGGAGTTCATTAAGTCAGAAAATTAAACAAGTCAAAATTAACCCCTTAATTAAGCTTTAAAACTTCCAAAATTTTCAATAAATCAAGTTTAAATCCAAAAAATACAAAAAACCACTCTAAGTGATCAGAATTAAACCTTTAATCAATGAAAATTGAAACCAACTCAATTTGACAGCAAATATGACTTTAATTTAATTTTAAGTGAAATTCAATGTTTAATTAATTTAATTAATTAAAAATATTTAAAATTCCAAAAAATTTTCAAACATTTGGAAATCTCTTCTTAGGTCATTCCTGACCTTTGGAGTTGATTTCAAGGAGTTTGGAGTTCATTTGGAGCAAAATCATTAAAACTCCTTTAATTAAACAGTTTTAATAATTCTAAAAAATACAAAACTTTGAAAATCATAACTAAGTCAAGAAAACTCCAAATTGACCAAACTCAATTGCATTCAACTCAAATTTAAGTCTAGTATTTATTAAAATCTTCAAACCTTCAAAAATCAGTCAAAGTCAAAAAGTTAACTTTTTTGTCAAACCTAGGTCAAAATTAGTTCAAAACTTCAAACCTTCATAACTAATTGTAGAAAAATTCAATTTCAACGTACTTACAGTCTAACTGATCGTATTAAGGTCTAGTATTTTAATAAAATATTTATTTTCTAGAAAACATTCTTAATCAAAAAGTCAACTTTTGACTCCTTAATTAAATGATTAAAATAATCCAGAAAATTCTCAAAACTCAAAAATCACTCTAAAACTCCAGAAATGTTTATTCAACCTTAAAATTTGCAATCAACCAACAGTTAAAAGCAACCTTAAAATCAATGTCAAATCATTAATACTTAAACTCAAATTTAAATATTCTTTTAAACCTTTCAACCAATCAAAACTTCAAACAACTTTAACAAATTGCCCTCCATAGGACATATCCAAACCACACGGCCTACCTCACACACTTTAGATGATTTGCTAGGACAACCAACTCTAGTTCTAGGCTAGGCCGGTGTTTACTTTTCTGCTGTGTGCCGGGTTTTCGAGCTTTCACTGCATGCTGGTTGTTAGCTTAGAATTGATTGAATGTCTGTTTATTTATTTACTGCACTTTGTTGAACATTTAAATTTCAAATATATTAACTTCTTGATATTAAATATTAACTGCTTGGGATTATTTATATAACTGCTGATTATTATAGAATAACCCTGCTGGATAGAGTCTAGATTTTTCAATTTTGATTAATGTAAATTTGATTTGATTTGAGTTGTAATTTCAAGTGATTTGAGATGGGATAACATCCAATTTGGAATCCAAAGAGGAAGGGACATCCCTTAAGGGAGAGTCCCTCTCCGTTTGGAGATCCAAATTAGGATAACTTTAAAATATCCAAAGAGGAAAGATAATACCCCGTTCAAGGGGGAGTTACTTTTCATTTGGATATCCGGACCCGACGATCCAAGAAGCAGTAGAGGGACGAAGAAGTGGATAACGAGAAGACCCATTCTCAAAGTCACTTAAGTCTTAGGAGTAGAATCCGGGTTGTCGTCAGTGGTGTCCGGCCACTTTACTTTTCTGCAAATTCTGGTTTGTAATAATAAGTGGCACTTGCCACATGGACATTCAATGTGAGCTATTAATTTAATTGATTTATTTATTAATTGATGTGTTGACTGCGATTAGGATATGCCTGCTTTTTCTAGTTTTTTGGCGCTCTTGCATGTCGCATTTTGATTTAGCCTGGAACCTGATCGTAGGCTCTTAAGGACTCATTAAAAATTTTCTACTTAAATCAAATAAAAAATTTTAACTAGAAAATTTTTAAGTCAACATAGAAATTCTAACGTTTTAAGAAGTAAGCCCGGGACCGCCGGGAGTTCTCATTTCAAAAGTCTTCATTCAAATTCAAGCATTTAATCAAGTCAATTAGCATGCATCGCATTAGCAACAAATTTAAAAATCTCTAAAACTTTAATTGCATTTATTTAGACATCAAATACCCGACATAAGTTAAGGGGTCAATTAAGGATCTGCTCTAGATGTCGACCTCATTCCTTTAAACTTTTATAAATAATGTCACTACCACTCAACATTAAAAAACCATATACATAATTTTAAAGCGCCTAGGTGGTTTAGCTGGCTCCCCAATCCAGGCTGGGGTAAGTCCAGATTTGCACTGCATTAGCTAGGTTCAGGTTACTTTTCAGTAACAAGTTTAGACTTAGGTCCCGGGGCAGGCTCGGGCTATAAGACCTCAACCTCCGGGAATTGAATCCCAATTTTCTAATAAAATTGATCATTTAACTAAAAAATCTCTTTCTATCAAATTCGAGCCCAACACTTATGATAGACTAGGGCACTTTTGAATTGTTTCAGAATCTCAGGTGCCTCCTATCATTCTTTCTTTGACTCCAGAAATAAGTGTTCAAATTTAATCCAGTCCCGATTGAAATTTCCAATCATTTTCTTCTTTGATATCGAGCCTTGAAATCTTAAATAAAATTTTAAACCGCTATTTTAATCGAGAGTATTCGTAGGAAATTTCAATTTCCTACGATGTAATTAACTACGAGGGTTTGCGCTCGTAGGAGATTTAGAAACCCAAATCTAACTTTTCAAAAAAATCAATTTTTCAAAACCTTTAATTAATTCTCTTTGGGAAAATTAAATACAATGATCATTCGTCATTTTCAATCGATCGATAATGATTGATATATTCTTTCTTCGGAGAGATATATCAATTATTATCGTGATTTTGATTATGAAATTAATGATCTTTTATCCATATTAGTATAGTCAAACAATTGAGTAAATAAATTCTATTTTGATCCTTCGGGGTCAAATGTGGTTCTCCCCTTGAGTTTGACGACGATAATTTGGATAACTTTAAAGTTTTGAAATTTGAATCAATTAGTGAATGATATTCTCTCCGTTTGAGATGATATATCGTTCCTAATGTTGTGTTCGATTTCAAAACTAAAACTCAAAAATTAATCTTTCCCAAAGAAAATTACTTCTTTTTTAAAACTATTTTTTTTAATCAAAACAATAAAGCATATGTTTTTTCAGCAAAAAAGATCGCCAATCCTAAGAGCATGAACCAGTGAACAGCTAAGAAGTTTACTTGATAGTATGGACTAATAATTAGCACCATTTTGTATGATGAATAATTTTTGGAACACCAGCTTATCGTGCAACAAAGGACTGCACACATAAGTAGCTTACAAGATGGTGCGCAGTATAATAAATTAGCATAAGGAAACATCTCACATTAACAAGCAGGGAGGAAGGGACACAGCAATCTGCAAAGAGGCAAATGCTGTGATGATGTTGTCATATTAGTGTTTGGTGCAAGAACTGGCTCAATGGTTGGAATTTTTCTACTACACAGAATAACGATATCCAAAGCCTGACAGTATTAACATTGCATTGCAGGAAAAGCATCTAGCATGATTACTATTCAGAAAATGTACATTATAAGTTCAGTGTTAATAATCTCATTCACAAATCACAAGTGGGCATGGACGGACAAGCCATCAGAAAAAGATGGTAAGAAAAAGCTGAGTTGCACCAATCAACCCATCCGCATGCATTCACTCACGCAAACATAAACACAGCCAGGAAACAAGCGTACAAAAACAAATGTAACTTGAAATTACAAGCATTTTGAAAAATAGGTCAATTTAGCTATTTTCACATATATAGAATGCAATGGCACTAAATTGATGACTAGATTTAAGTACAAGAAACAAGCACCAAAACTATACTTGACCAAGAAGAGATGCGATACAGGCACCAGTGTGAACAAGTGGACCTTCTTTTCCCAGTGCAAGCCCTCCTCCAACTGAGCCAATGCTTCCGAATACCTGCACAGAAAATGAAGAAACCTTTTAGTAATATATTTACCATAAGCATGAGCCTGATAAAGGGTAGGGGAACTGATAATCCAGACCTTTCCGATCAAAGTTCTAAAGAGAAGAATTCCATGTGTATCAACTCCTACATCATTGATCAACTTCATCATAGTTGCAAAAAGAATATCAATGCTATGTAAGTAAATAATACACACCGTTTAGGTATCCCTTAATCTCTGGAATACCAGACCCTGCTGCTGCTGGAGCAAATTGAGTAACGATGAATACAGAGGTAAGAACTAGAGCCAGGTTGAATATAGCATATACCACGAAACCCAAAAAGTAGGAATGTTGTATTATGGAGAAAGTCACAGCATATTTCCAGCCAGAGAAGTTTTCTACAGCTAGATTAATAAATACTGCAGCTACTGCAGTGCCTGAGAGAAATAAAAAAAAAACAGACGGTTGGAAGCAAGTATTTTTTGATATAGCAACTTACAGAAAACAAATTCAACCAAACTTACATAAAAAACAACAGCTATGAAAAGTAAAGCAAATCAATGACCTAACAGATAGCAAAGTAAGAAAGTATTGAAGTAAAACACCCCATAAATGGTGTGCTTAAATATAATTATCTTCATAAGTGGGATTAAAGGTAGAGCTTGCTGGAATAATAACATTAAAATAAGACTGGGTTTGGCTGGATCTTAGTTACACAGTGAAACATGACAGAGCTCTTTAAATGATACATGAAGTGTTAACTCTAACTTGAGTAAGTATTCTTGAACAATTTCTCACCTAGTTGCCTCCAGTCTGCCCCTTATTTCCTATTTCTTTCAAATTTAATTCTACCTAACAGCTTTCTTAGGACAACGATTACTCTGTTTGACCTAGTTTTTGCCAAAAAGTCCGCCTTTACATTCTCAGTTTCGCCATACTCTATTTGAAACCAATGATTTCTTCATCACAAAAACACTTGGATTCGTATAGCATAATCAATCTAATTGCAATTTAATAAAATTTATCCATCAGATTTC